CTGTCCTGTGGAGCGGGGCTGTGTCCGTTCCCTGTCCCGTGGAGCAGGGCTGTGTCCGTTCCCTGTCCCGTGGAGTGGGGCTGTGTCCGTTCCCTGTCCTGTGGAGCAGGGCTGTGTCCGTTCCCTGTCCCGTGGAGCAGGGCTGTGTCCGTTCCCTGTCCCGTGGAGCAGGGCTGTGTCCGTTCCCTGTCCCGTGGAGCGGGGCTGTGTCCCGGTTGTGCTCAGCAGCCTCACACACACTTTCTGCCCCATCAGCTCGCGGCAGTGTGGCACTGCCGAGCCCCAGCCTGGAGCTGACAGGCGTCACAAAGATCAGGGCGGCCAAGTGACAGCGGCAGGCGGCCACTAAAGTGTCACCCCAGGGCTTCTCCCCACCCCACGGCCACGGGGAGCAAAGGGGGAAAACCCCAGGGACCAAACCTCATTGCTCTGAGCCACAGCATCCCTAAGGGACGAGAGGAGCCAGCTGTCCCCCAGCAGCCTGGTGACCTCCCAGGTGGCGGTGACCAGGATCATTGGCTCAGGGGTGGGACATGGGACCCTGGCAGAGGGCAGGGGGGCACGGTGAGCAGGGCAGAGCCAGCCTGGTGAGCTCAGAGCCTCCAGCTGCAGCTGCTGTTATTCTCTCTGTCCCAGACAATGGCCCAATGTCCCCTGCCCGGGGTGACAGGACAGGACCCCATTGTGTCCCCACTGTGGCACAGCGTTTGTCCGCACCCCTGGCTCCTCCAGGGAGCGACATTTGGGTGGACAGGGGCACCCAGCCCCTCCCAGAGCTGGGAAATGTTTAGGGGGATAAATCATTCCCTCTCTCCAGCGAGGAGAGCCTGGCCAGTGCTCAGGGAAAGGCTGTGGGGCCTTTCCTGGCGCTTTGCCCCATCTCAGCGCAGCTCCATCCGAGGGAATGTCTCTCCCAGCACTGGCAGAGCCCCATTCCCCAGTGGCTGAGCTGTGGGAAGCTGGCTGCGGGATGGGAGTGACCTGCCCGGGATCATCCAGGGCCACGGCAGCCCCACGGGGCCGGGAACCCCCCAGGGCACCCCTTGGCCCCCAGCCCGTGGGAGCAGGGACAGCCAGCCCTGGCCGGCTGCGGGGAGCAGAGGGGAGCGCTGGCAGAGCCGGCCCTTGGCAGGAGCTGCCTGGCCTGAGGGTCCCAGCCCCGAGCCAGATCCGGCCAGCAGGAGCTCTGCCGCTTCCTCGGGCACAGAAAGCTCGGGCGTGGCAGGTGCCAGCAGCACAGCCGGGGATGGCAGCAGGACAGGGCTGGGGCTGGTGGCAGTACAGGGCAGCAGGTCCCCACAGCGTGTCACCCCTCAGGAACTCAGGCCACAGCGGTCACTACCATTTCCTTTTATTCCTCGTATCTGTACATACACGGTATAAAACCTCCGCCTGCTCCCAGCACTGCCCGGCCCCACCGGGACACCAGAATTGCCTGGCTCCAGCAGCTTCCAGGTGCTCCTCCCACAGGGGACAGACCCACACTTCCATCAGCATCCCTGTGACCCCCAGGCTGGTTGGAGGGTCAAGCATCTGGGATGGAACCATCCATCCATCATCCATCCATCATCCATCATCCATCCATCCATCATCCAGCATCCATCCATCATCAATCATCTATCCATCCATCATCCATCCATCCTCCATCCATCCATCCATCATCCATCCATCCATCCATCATCCATCCATCCATCATCCATCCATCCATCCATCATCATCCATCCATCATCCATCCATCATCCATCCATCCATCCATCCATCCATCATCCATCCATCCTCCATCCATCCATCCATCCATCCATCCATCCATCCATCATCCATCCATCCATCCATCATCCATCCATCCATCCATCATCCATCCATCATCCATCCATCCATCCATCCATCATCCATCATCATCCATCCATCATCCATCCATCATCCATCATCCATCCATCATCCATCCATCCATCCATCATCCATCCGAGGGATGGAGGCAAGCACCTGCCATGGCACTGGGAGGCTCCTGGTCTGCAGAAAGTCCCCAAGAAACCCAGGAAGCTGGAGCTGCCCATAGTCCTAGGCCACCTCTGAGCTCCAAGTTCTTCCTCATGGGAAATCTTCCCTCAGTTAAGACCAAAAGAGAGTAGAGAAAGGTAAGTACAAATCAGAAAACAGTAAAAACTGCATGGTGGAAAATATATATATATTACTAAAGGGGCTAAAACTCCAAAGGCTCGTCTTGTTGGATCCTAAATCGCTTTACACGGGCCAGGGGGCAGGAGAAAGGAGCTAGTATCCAAAGTCCAACAGAAAGAATCGAAATCAAGTCTGCTTCCCCCTGCCAGGAAGTGCTGGAGCTGTCGGGGGGCTGCCAGGAAAGCCCCCAGCCCCGAGAGCAGAGCGCTGTCCTGCTGCAGCACAGAGAGAGAACGAGGCAGGAGTCCAGTCTTGCCCAGTGCCACCAGTTGGGGTGTTCAGCCCTGTGTCCAAGCAACCGCAGTGAGAACCAGACCCTCGGCTGGGCTCCCACCTTTATACCCGGATCTCGTCATCGTCTTCATCAGCGAACGAGAACTCCTTGTCGGGGCGTTTCGGGGGCCCTGCCCGCTGGCTCGGGGGCCGGGGCACGGGGCTGCGCTCCTCGGGCCCCGAGGTGCAGCTGGAGGCCGGACTGCTGTCCCTGGGGCTGCGGCCACCGGCGCCACGGGCTGGGCTCTGGCTCGGCGGGGCCGCCACGGCCACCAGCGGGGAGCCAGGCGGGGCAGGCTCCCCCTCCTCTTCCTCCTCCTCCTCCTCCGCCTCGGCATCTTCGTCCTGCTCCCACTGATCCTTATCCATGATGCTCAGCACGTCCCCGAGCATGGAGGGCCCCAGGTCGATGTGG